TCCTGCTGGCTGGATTTGGACTATAACTCCCAGAAGTGCCCTAGAGGAAGAGTCTTGCAGACCTGTGCTGGTTGCATGTAGACTACAACCCTCAGAGACACTGGAGGCAGGGAGACTAAGGGGAAGGAAGTAGGAAGCAGCAGCAGAGCACAGGATGGAGCAGCAAAGCACAGGGTACAGCAGCAGAGGGAAAAGCCCTGTGGAGTGATGGAGCTGGGACTACGGACTGTAGCAGCGAGACTCAGATGTGAGACAACACATGCAGATGGTAACTGATTGCCCTCAGGACCACAGGATAGCTTGAAACACCTCTGAAAGTGTGGGAAGGATTAAGGTTTCTTGAGCACATGTACCACAGTGGTAGTGCTCACTATCTGTTACCTGTTCTTGAGTGAAGTCACCGGAGTGTTACTGTTTATTACCTGTTACCTAGTTCCTAAGTGTAGGTACCTTAATGTTAATGTGTATTTACCTGTACCTGTTCCTTTCTCCTTAGCCCATGGACTTATGACCCTAACCCCAAGCATTTTCTTTATAGAAGTGGGAACTTCCCTTTTCAGCTTCCTGCGCCAGTTCATAGAAATCATAGAAAATTAGCGTTGGAAGGGACCTCAGGAGGTCATCTGGTCCAACCCCCTGCTCCAAGCAGGACCATCCCCAACTAAATCATCCCAGCCATGTTCCTGGGGAAGGCTTGACAGGTGATTTGATAATAGTCTAGAAATACCTAAAAGGCACTTACAGAGAGGATGGAGATTGGCTTTTCTTTTGGCTATAGAGTAGGGCTGTGCAAAATTTCACTGGTTGTTTCATTTCAACACTGTTTTGACTCATTTCGAGCTCAAAACAGTGAAATCAAAATGAAACAAAGGGCTTCAAAATAGCCTCAAAATTAAACAAGGGCAGTCAAAATGTTTTGAAAGTTTTGAAACATTTTGAGTTTTGAAGCACCCAGTCAGTGGCGGGAGACAGAGGAGAATCAGGGCTGTGATGGGGCTGGGGAAGGGAACTCAGCCCAGCTTCCCCAACCCCATCGCAGCACTGGGGTCTTCCCCAGCCTGGCCAAAACATTGAAACAGCAAAACCATTTCAATGAAACAAAATGGAACAGAACAATGTTTTTGAAACCAAACAAAACTCGAAACGAAACACTGTTCCATCAAAATGTTGAAACAGATGTCAAAGCGGAACACTGCTGTTTCGCACAGCCCTACTATAGAGTACAGGACTAGGCGCAATGACCTCAAAACCACAGCTGGGGAAACTGAGGCTTGAGCTTGGGAGGAAATTTCTGACTATCGGGGTGATCAAGCATTGGAACAGGCTACCTAGAAAACCTGTAGAATCTCTACCACTGGAAATTTTCAAGAGCAGGTTAGACAGGCTGGGATAGTTTAGTCAGGGAAAATCCAGCTTTGAGCAGGGTGCTGGACTAGATGACTGAATTCCTTTCAGCCCCACTTTCCTCACTTTCCTAGGTCCTACACTAGCACTACTAGGTATGCAAGATTCACAAGATAAACCCAGAGATTTCAAACAGGAATTCATAGTGTCAAAATCATTCTGACTTGTTGTGAGCTCTTTGAAATAGAAGAATTGCTCTATTATTCTTCTATAGTCCAGATCTGAATGAGAGCTACGAATTGGCTTTTTTTGAAGGGTGCCTTGAATCTAACAATGGTCTAGGTTGTAGCTGTGTTGGTCTAAGGACAGAGGCAGACAGGGTTCTTTGGATAAATCTGATACCTTTTATTAGACCAACTAAGTAGTTGAAAATGTTTCTTTCTTAGCAAGCTTTTGGGTTTAAAAACCCTTCATCAGACTGCAGTTGGTGTGTGCTCTTGAATCTTACAAGGGGTGCCTTGAGTCAAATAAGGTTGAAAACCACTGTTCTAGTCAGTACTAAAAGAGTCAAGATTGTTGACCTACCTCCTTCGAGTTCAGAGTTAGCAGACTGATGGTAGTTCAGGTATTCTTCCAGGTTATCCACTTGCAGTATCATGGAGATAGTGCTCCATTGTTTATACTTTAAAACATTATTTTATATTCACATCTATTTTTGATAGAAGCTTAGCATCTATTGCATGAATCTGTGATGGAAGATGGATTCCAACAGTATGTATAAATCCCTGCCTATATGTTACTCTGTGCGAAGTAGGTTTCTTTTAACTTATGTAAACATATACATGTGGCCTGCATGTGCCACTGCCTGTAGCTCACTAACAAAGATCCTAACATCATTGAGCAAGTCAACTGTCTGAAATCATGAGGATGCTGCAGCTGTTTTAGACTATGTATAATTCAGGCCCTAAAACACTTCTGAAATTTTCACTCCAAAAAATGGTTATCAGGAAGAACTAACTGGTAATATGCATATCCCCAATCTCAATAGCCATAACCCATGCTAGCTTCGAATCCGAAACTGAAATGCTTTTGCAGGATTAGTATATGCTGTTCTTCAGATGCTATGTTGATGTCCCTCTGCACAAATTATTTATCAAATATATAGCCATTGATTCATTGGCACTGAATACAAATAGCTATGCCTCTGTTAAAGATGTTACTAAGCTAATAATGATGATAGCTATGAATCCTAGTTTACCATTGGTGCTGTGCAAGCATGTAATTCATTCCAGAAGGGTGAGAAAGCTATTAAAAATAGCATAATGTGACTCATGCCATCAGCGAGCATAAACAGCATAAGAGAAGCAGGGAGTTTGTAGTATCTCATGCCTTAAAATGATAGTGTGCCACCAACCTATATGCAATATTTTGCTCTTTGATCTCTTGATTACTACTATGAGCAACATTGTTCAGCAGAATAGCCACAAATCAGAAGGTATTAGCATACAAAAAGATCTGAATCATCTGCTCAGAATTTATTCATAACCAATTCAGGAACAGTAGAAAGGATTCAGTACCTCAAAGGCACACTCTCAATGAATGGTTTGCCCAAAGACAGTAGTAGGAGTTTTTGAAAGGGGGAAGGTGTTACAGTCATCAGCAGTGAAACTGAATTGTATTCAGTCTGCAATGGAACAAGGCTAATTAAAGAGATCAGTTGCCGGTTTTGAAGTCAAGGGTAGGGTAAAGCACGTAGAGCTCTATACCTTGCCTCGGGCTGCAGTCCCTAGGATCATAAAATGAAATCAGAATCTCAGCTTGCATTAAAGTTATGTTTTCAGTCCAAATGGATGCCAAGTAAAACTTGAGAAAAAGGGAACCTGAAGTAACTGAAACCTGCTAATCATGCAAGAGAGCCTGAAACAATGCCTTTGAGGACTGCACCCTGTCCCAGGCACCTTATAGCTGAAACAGTAGCATATATAGGGGTGGGTGAGAGGGATACCTTGGGGTGTCAAGCTAGATAGGACATTAGAATCACCCCCACCCCCACAGAATCTGTGCTGCAGTAGCATATCTATGCTGGGGGCCCCAAAACAGTCCCTGGTTCCTGCTGCTTCTGTGAGAGCAACAGCTGGAGTGGGCAGAGCATGTGGTGGCAGCAGCAGCA